TATACCACGGGGAGCAGGTCTTTTTGACGATTTAAATTTTTAGTTTTAGATTTTCTATTTTATAGTTTCTTCTTTTTATTGTATATAATTAGTTTTAATCGTAAATATTATAAGTTATTTCATATTCCATAACATTTATTAAGCTACTTTAATGCCGGAGTACAATGCATGGCTGTTGTTTTAAGCTAAAACATGCGGTAAGTAGAAGAAAATTTATTAAAACATTCCACAAGCCCCAACGCTAATGCGGCTGTTTTAAATAGAAAGCTCGGTAAATGAAAGTTTCTGTCCAGTATTTAACGCAGGAAATGCGGATGGGTTCCAATGTGTGCGCCGAGGCTTAAATTAATGATTACAATGTTTATTTAATTACATTTTAAACCAGCGGTAAAAAATATAATATTATTGATAAGTGTTGAAGAAGAGAATATTCCAATTCATCATCATCATTACAGCCCTGCACAAGTCCACTGCTGAACATAGGCCTCCCCCAAGGTATGTCACAAAGTACGGTCCTGAGCCACCTGCATCCATCGACTTCCTGCATGTCCTACCAGGTCGTCACTCCATCTAGTGGGGGTCGCCCTACACTACGCCTACCGGTACGAGGCTGCCACTCGAGAATCTTTCTTCCCCATCGGTTATCGGTTCTTCGAGCTATATGGCCGGCCCATTGCCACTTCAGCTTACTAATCCGTTGGGCTATGTCGGTCACTCCGGTTTTACTGCGGATATCCTCATTTCTGAGTCTATCACGCAGAGAAACTCCGAGCATAGCCCTCTCCATAGCTCGCTGAGCGACCTTGAGCGTCCTCATACGGCCAGCAGTGAAGGACCACGTCTCAGATCCGTAAGTCATCACTGGCAACACGCACTGGTTGTACAATCTAGTTTTTAGAGATTGAGGTATACCTGACGAGAAGATGTGTCGTAATTTCCCGAACGCTGCCCAGCCGAGTTGAATCCGTCGATTGACCTCTCGGTCGAAGTTGGACTTACCTAGTCGGACTATTTTGTCCTAGGTAAACGTACTCGTCAACAACTTCGAGCATAGTGCTCCCAACAACTACCGGCATAGGTGTGACATGGACATTAAACATGATCTCTGTTTTGTCCATGTTCATCTTAAGACCTATCCGTTGGGAGACACCATTGAGGTCATTGAGCATAGTGCTTAGGTCCTCCAGCGATTCTGCCACAAGCACTATATCGTCGGCAAATCGAAGGTGAGTGATGTACTCGCCATTGATGCTAATACCGTATCCTTTCCAGTCCAGTAGCTTGAAAACGTCTTCCGACGCAGCGGTGAAGAGTTTCGAGGATATAACATCACCCTGTCTTACACCTCTCTGCAGTTGGATATGTTTCGAGCTCTGGTTCTGTACTCGGATAACCATCGTAGCCCTACTGTACAAACACTTCAGCACTTCGATATACCGACAGTCAACTTGGTACCGCTAAAGGGACTGTAGCACCGCCCAAATTTCGACGGATTCAAAGGCTTTCTCAAAGTCCACATATGCCAGGCAAAGTGGCAGATTGTACTCTTCAGTCTTCTGTACAATCTGGGTGTGTATGTGGTCTATGGTACTGAAGCCTTTTCGGAAACCGGCTTGTTCGGGAGGCTGGAAGTCGTCGAGTCTGCGTGCGAAACGATTCGTAATGACTCTCGAAAACAGCACGTAGACGCGGCTCAGAAGGGATACCAGTCTGTAGTTCTTCAAGAGAGCGTTGTCATCTTTCTTGAAGAACATGACCACCGAACTTCTGCTCCACTGCCACCATGGAGGACGGAATTAAAGAGCTTCTGAAGGACTTCAAGTATCGGTTTTCCACCCGCATTCAGAAGCTTCGTTGTAATTCCATCCTTGCTCGAAGACTTGCCGTTTTTAAGGCGCTGGAGAGCCATTTTAATCTCGCTTAGGCTGACGTCCGAGATATCATCGGAATAGTGTCGGATAAAACTTGCTCTTGTATCGTTACTCACACTTGCGTGTGGCTCCAACGATAGTGTGTGAGCTGCTCATAAGACCTCTTAATCGCACTCAAAATCTCAGGTGTCCCAGAAACGATGCCGCCACACTCAGTCTTCAGCTTTGACAGTTGGCTCTTTCTCGCAGACTGATCTCTGGCAAAGACTTTGGAGCCCTGGTTCCGCTCAATTGCTTCTTCAATACGAGCTGTATTGAAGTTGCGTTAGTCCTGCCGCATGCATTTTGAAATTTGTCGGTTCAGTTGCCTATATTCTGTCAAATCTGCTAACGACTGCAGTTCCTCTCCCGTCTAACATCCATGAGATTAAGAGTGTGATCGGAGAGTTTTTGTGTTCTTCTGCGGCGGATCTTGTAGAACCAAGTCTCAGACCGCATGGACAGTTTACACGAGCTTGTCATTCGTATCGCACCACTGTATTGCAGTCATCTAGGCACTGAAAGAGAAAGCGGTTTTGTAACTCGAGCTGAAAGGTATCGGGATTCTGGATTAGAGCACGAGTGGGACGGAGCGTTGACTTCATTAGACGAGACCTCTCCAACTTAACGTTTAGGTTCAGTGTGCCTGTAATCATTCGGTGATCGCTGCCAGTTTTCACCCTCGTGATCACTGAGACATCACTAAATAGTTGGCGTCTGGTTGTCAAAATGAAGTCAATCTCATTTTTTGTCGAACCGTCGGGGCTCGACGAGGTCCACTTCCTATGCGGCCGCTTCTGAAAGAAAGAGTTCATCATAAAGAGTCCCTCTTTCTCCATGAAGTTGGCCAGCTGCTGGCCCATAGATTGGTGCGTAAATCTGTATGACCTTCAGCGAACCGTTTGGTGATTCTGAGTATCAGGTACGCGACCCTCTACGACACACTCAATCTTTGCATTATTGTTGACGAGCGACTTGTGGACGATGAATCCGACACCTCCTTGGGACAGATGGTCGCCCTCCCCGTGATAGAACAAGTTACCGGACTTGAGGATTACTTTGTGCTCCCCCTCTATTCGGGCCTCGGATAATCCTATAATATGCCAGCGCAACTTGTCTACCTCTTCTTCCAGCTTCAGTATCTTCTCGTTGGTCCTCAGGGTGCGTGCGTTATATATTGCTTGGTCGAGTCGTCGTAGGTGGCAACCGAATCTCCACCGGAGATTCTTAGCACCCCCTGCCCCGCCGTTACCATGGTCGCCACCGTAGCCAGGAATAGCGGGGCCGCCGGGGACTAGTTGCTCATGGGGGGATGTTTGCCATAGTTGCCACGCTTGGCAAGCGGGTTGGCAACCGCAGTTTTTTGTTGTGTATCGTTGTTATCAGGAAGATGCTGCTGCCCTTCTCCTGCCTGTCTCCCTCTGTCGCCTCTTACGACACCCACGGGAAGACATGAGGTAGTGGATATTCTCAACCGCCACTACACGGCAATTATTCCAATTAAAGTCCTACAAAAAGCAACACGTCTCTTATTGTGACTTTCTCTACATTACAAGAAAGTTTGTCTGTATTGGTCGAAACCTGCGAAAGTTCCGACAAAATATAAATAAAAATACAAAAACATATCTCTCATCAGTCTATACATCCGTGAGCCTACTGATAAACATAGGCCTTTGCCATATGCTTTAAATTGTATGATCATGTAAGCCATCTGTATTCATTTCTTTAACAGAATAAGAGTGAAATTTTTATGCGTGGTAGAGTCACCCTGCAGCTATATTATAGTTGTTGCACGAATGGGTTGGCTCGAACGGGGAAGGACCACGCTCTCACAGAAAATCAGCTTAAAACAGCAGCTTGCCTAATACTGCTATGTTTCATAAGGTGAGTGTAGACAACCGGAGACTCTTTTAACTGGATAAGAAGCATTCCATCTTATTCCTCAGGGGAGACAACACATATGCGTTTTCGAATCGAAATCGAGGATAAATTTAGATGTTTAAGGGCCACAGCATCCACTCACCATCAGGTGGGCTGTGTGCTCGTTTTTCACCTTTATTCTTTAAAAAAAAACGAGCACATAGTCCACCTAATGTTAATAAGATTTACTTGTTATGGCCTTTATGATGTCTACACATTTCATTGAATAAGTATCAAACTGATGAATAAGATGGAATGTTTCGTTATCAGTATAAAGGCTCTTCAGTTCTCTACAATTTTCGTTTGAAACACAGCGGCATTATTCCGATGTTTCACGCTGGTAATCTTTGAGAGCTTGGTCCTTCCGCAATCGAGCCGACCTATTCGAGCTTCAGATAACTACCCATCTATAGCTAACATAACTGCTGAAAATTAACTTTAGCCACCATATAAAAAAAATCTTGCTAAAAGTGTAACACTATACTAATGTACCAATTGACAAATGGTTATTGTTGTATTCCTTAAAACCTAGAACTTACAAAGAAATACCAGGGTTTTACTGGAATCTTTTGTGAAATAATGCAAGTAAAAATAATCAAAAATAAATACGAAGAAAAACTTTATTTTGCCAAGTAAAGAAAATAGTCAGTTGTAGATTATATACTATTCAAATGTCATCCACACGCTATAAAAAATCTTCCCAAATTTTTATAGCGTGTGGATGACATGGTGACAAACGTCTACACAGTCCATCTGATGGTACACGGATCGTGGTAAGTCTACATCTATCCTCGATTAGAATCAAAATGCAGATGCGTTGTCACCCGTGTGGACTAAGATGGAATGCCTCGTTACACTCATCATAAAAAACAACAGCGTTAAACTGCTATTTTACGCTGGTATTATATGAGAGCCTGGTTCTTCCTCGGGACGACCGAAATAAATGCAACGTATTTATTTATATTCTTCGTATGTTTTTGAGAGCGGTAGAATAAATTTCTGTAGCATTGAAAGACCAGCTTACAAGTTACATCTACTTAAAATAAATACACAAGACTCAAGCTTAATTGTAGTAAAAATAATTTCGGAACCAGTGACTTGAAATGACATTAAAACCTTATCATGTAAAAATAATATTACCCTTACCTGACCCTCGTATATTAATTGCAGGCGGAGATATGGTCGGTGTTCATCGCGATTCTACGCAAGAGTGTGCGCAACCTGCAGGCCTGCACCGACGTGGGCCTCATACACCACGTACTGCAGCGGTTGCCACGCGCCGAGACAGTCGTAGCAGGTGGGCGCCTAATTTTACTGCTGTAACTTTTATCTGGTAATATAAAAGTATCTGCCGCCTAAGTAGAGCCGTTATAAGTGGTGACGTCATAAGTGGTGATGTCTTATGTGGTGACGTCATAAGTGGTGACGTCATAAGTGGAGATGTCTTCTGTGGTGACGTCATAAGTGGTGACGTCATAAGTGGTGACTAAGGCATATGAAAGAAAAATGTTATGGCCTCCAATAGATGGCGATATTACCTTCTAGTCAAAGTTAAAGTAAAATGAGAAGAAGCCGCAAGTAAACTATTTTTCTCCTAACAGTTACAATTTATCCTTACAATATATAAATTACATGAGTAAAAAGTATAAGGAAGCTCATAATGTTCGCGCAAGGATAAGATCTTTTAAATAGTCTTTACATACGTTTTCAATTTATGTAGATATAAATATTTATAACCAAGGTTCTCAAGTAGGCAGCCCTTTCGCCTACCGGTTGGAGAAGTCTGGAGCGGCCCCCACTAAATGGAGTGACGACATGCAGAAATTCGATGGATGCTGGTGGTTCTTAGGACCGTGCTTTGTGCCATCCTTTGAGGGAGGCCGATGTTCGGCAGTGGACTTGTGAAGGGCTGTAATATTGATGATGAAATATTTATACATGTACTTGGAAACAGCAAGTTTAGATTTACTGCGCGTGTTAAAGTTATTGTAAATGTCAGATGTAAAATTACCAGACCGATTTAAACATATGCCGACTGCTGGGCTTCTCAGCGGCGTGAAAATTAAAATTAACAATTTCTTTGGTGTTAAATGTATAAAAAATATTCTTTCAAAGACTTCTTTGAAACATAAAGTTTTACGATCGAATTTGAAAAATCTTATTTGGGTACCTACTACACATATTTTATTTAACCGTTTAGAAGTGGAAATCTCGGTTGGGTGAACCCAATCTTATAAGCCAGCTCTTGACTACTATCTAACCTGATGATGAAGCGTACTTACTTGACTAAAGCCTGCACCTGCACCTTATATCATTCATTGAAATCGGAAGGAAAGACATAAGCCAGCAAGTTATTACACGCTAAGACTGAATGAAAATGCATCTTATATCCTCATAATTAACGACAATATTCCCTCTGTGTGTTTCGAAGAAGTTGGCTTTACCAATTATTTGCATTTTTATATAAATAAACTTTAACTTCACGTCAATAAAGTTTTTGCCCTTTGGGTTTATTAAAAAAAAAGTCGCCGGTAGAGGAGTTCGCTCTACCTTTCGCAAGTAGATACAGCGATTACGATTAAACTGTTAGCTAGCCAGTTCTGTTTTCCTAATGATTACGTGAATATATTTATAGTGATCGTTTCACTTTTTAATTTAGTATGTATGTAATGTGATGTACAACCACAGCGTTATCTTTCTGATTTTCTTGGGAATTTCAAGAAATATTTGAGAAAAATTACGTCTTCGTCATATCTTTCGGCTTGTTGTTGCCTTAGTAAATGTGAGAAAGCGTCAACCCTTTTTCTTTTGAAATAGATTGGTCGGACCCCGTTTTTGCGTTGGGGATTAAAAAAAACTGGGGTAATCCAAAGTTCAATAAAAAAAAGGCAATATTTCTGTGTACAAAAATGATTAGCTCTAGTACCTAACGCCTGTTTTGTTGTTCCGTTGTATCTTCATGTAATGGATTTTATTGATTAATATTTCATGAGTTATTTATTTATTGGCCGCGAAATAGAGTAAATGGGGCCCTGCCTGTACTCTATTGTGAAAAGTCAAAATGTGTCGAAAAAGGCACGTATTCAGAATGCTGTGTTGGTCCCTGCTTTAACGTATGGTAGTGAAAGTTGGGTGTGGCGGAAGAAGCACGAGAGTAGAATGAACGCAGTAGAAATGCGGTCATTAAGAAAGGAATGCTTCGGTGGTTTAGTCATGTGGAAAGAATGAATGAGGAAAGATCGACAAAGAAAAATTTATGTTGCAGAAGTGAATGGCGGAGTCAGAAAGGGACGTCCTACGGTAAAAATGAATCGACCAAATTGGCGATTTATTGAAAATGGGCCAAATTAGGAGTACCCTTCACCGACGAGCATGTATGTATGCGTAGGTATATGAATATGAAGGAGGCGAGAGAGATGTGTCAGGATCATGCCAAATGGAAGTCTGTAGTCTCTGCCTACCCCTCTGGGTGACAGGCGTGAGTGTTTATGTTTTATGTTATGTTTTATGAGTGCAGAGAACCGGAGACCCCTTTTGCTTAGATACGAGGCATTCCATTTTAGTCCTCAGGGGTGGGCATTTGCATTTTGATTCTTAATAGAGGATAGAATGTAGCTCGCTCGTCACCCTTTTTCTATTAAAAAACGAAAAGGATGATTACATAATAAGAAATTTATGAAATATTTTTTTTCGTTTTTTTTTTTAAATATGTTTACGGTTGTTTTTTTCACAGCGTGTGAAAAGAGGCGTGGTCGAATATCTTACAGCTACTAGAATAACAACAAGCCGGTGTGTTACTTTTAAAGAGCAAGAATGAGATATCAAGAATAATAAAAAGCATGATAAAAAATTGGTAGCATGCAACTCAGATTAAAAAATTGGTAGCAAGCGACTCAGATTTTGAAGTTTTCGCGGGAACTTAACCCCCGGCGGATGCTCCTGTACTATTGCTTAAATAATGGTTTAAAGTGGATTTTCATATGTAAAGGTGCGCGCCACTTTTACGTATCAAAATCCACTTTTATGTATTAAATCTCTGGACAAGTGAACTATTAGTGGAAACAATGAAACAAGTGCTCCCATGGTGGCGTTAACCTCTAATATCTCTGCTTAGAAGTCTTAAGCTACTATCGTCAACGACTTTCTGCTAGCTCAAGCTTTCGTCAAAATCTCCCAAAACTTTACAAAGTTACAAACTTTTACCAAGCAGCTTTCGACTCAATGGGAAGGCGTTCTGAACAGAGGGCGTTCTAAGAGGTGACCTGAATCTGGGTAAAAACAAGTTCACCAGCCTCGTACACAGGCGTAAAGCCTTTCGGTTTTCTACAGGATTTCATAGAGTTAGCGTAGGAATTCTATAAATTCTCCCTTCCACCTCGGGTTGCCAGATAGTTGGGGTTCGTCTGGATTCTCCCGACATTTTAAATGATTTCCAGACTTCCGACAAAGCTCAAATCTCCAGACAAACAGCTTCTCTTCACATCACAGCTGCCTTTGATTTCATAACAGCTGAGTTAGTAATTAGACTGAACTTTGAAGTAAATTGTTTGGATTTTAAATCATTTCTGAATACAATATATTTCTGAATATACTAAAGGATCCAAATTGGTTGACTCAGTAAAGTCCAATGACAAATGCACGTGGCAATATAAAAATTAAGTGTACGTAAATTAGTTATGTATCAACAATGTTAAGTCTCTTTGTAGCCAGCCTACTCATCAAAAAAGTCTTTTTATTTTACACTTTTACTTTTGATATTTAATTCTTCCATTAACAAACCCAAAATACCGACATTTTAAAATCTTGTCCAGATATTTTGGTGTTCCGATCTGACAATTCTACGCCACTCTCCACACTTTCGTTGTTGACTTACCAATGATATTATAAGTAAAAAGATTATAATATCATTGCTTACCACGATTCGAACCGAACGGTTTGCTAAATCGTTTGTTATGCATACAGCAAAGGAGTGGAATGAGTTATCAGCGTCTGTCTTTCCACTCGATTATAATATGGGTGTCTTCAAGGCAAGAGTGAATAGGTTTTTGTTAAGTCAGTCCGCTTCACCAATGGAAAGAAAATTCTTGCAGGTTACTCGACAGCGGTGACATGTTTTTTCGATATTATGTAAATCTCTTCGTTTACGCCTACTTTTTTAATAAACTTACTGCATGTTATTTCTTGGTAGATTACGCCACCTTGCAAGCTTAGTCGAAAATCTCCCAGTTCAGATCGGATTCAGTGGCAGTAGCGCTTATGGGTTTTGTCTCAAAATTTGTTATTTCATGTTTAATTATTGCTAAAAGCATCCAAACATGAGAAATATTCTCTTCTATGTTGCTGTCGTTGTTACAACAGCCTATATATGTCCTACTGCTGGGCAGTGGCCTCGTCTCATTGCTGAGTGGGTTTTAGGCAGGGATTGAAAGCGGTAAAGGTATAAGGGTATGGTACCGGTATAGAATTACGATACAACTTCGATTTAAAGGTAGAATCAAAACGGTTGAGAAATACGGTTGTGGTACCGTTAAAAAAAGAATCATACCTATATTTTTTTACGGTATTGTTATACCTTTATTTTACTAATACCTTTACCGAAATAATTTCGGTACCGAAAAAAAATGAGTATTTTAGGCTTATTTATATGTATTGTGTCTCGGACCTTGCTTAACGTTATGAGACTTTCATTCGATTTGGATTTCCTATGTTACTGTATTTCATGTTCGGAAAAATTAAACATCTTTATCATATTTGTATTGTTATTTATTATTAGTCAAGTATTTAATTGAAAACGTAATATTATGTTTAACATGTGGGTACCAATTCTTACTTAACCTAGCTCTTCAGAATCAGTTAAAGGAACATCTTTAAAGTGCTTCCCTTCCAAGGGATGTAGGAATACTAATATTTTTGAGTAAACACGGGCTCGCATACAAGTTTTTATGCTTTGCATCCCTTTTTATAAGTAAGCTAAAAATTACTGCCGTGTAGTGGCGATTAAGAATTCCCGTGGGTGTCGTAAAAGGCGACAGAGGGAAGGCGGCAGGAGATGGGCAGCAGCATCTTCCTGATAACATCAATTGTACAACAAAAAAAACTGTAGTTGCCAATCCACTCGTAAAGCGTAGCAACTATGGAAATATCCCCCATGAGCAATGACACAAGTAAACGGCCCCCAGTCCTACGGCGGCCGCGCTATTCCTGGCTAGGTGGCGACTATGGTAAAGGCGGGATAGGGGATGCTAAGAATCTCCGCTGGATGGTTGGTTGCCACCTAAGACGATTCAACTTGGCAAC